GTGGAAAGAGGAGAGGCGCCCGGGTTGGAGGAACGGGGGGCCCCGAAGAAAGTGGAGAAAAGTGGCGAAGGGCAGAGAGGCCCCCACGTCCTTTAGCACTCGCGGCTTGAGCCAAAATGGCTACTCTCTCTCTCTCTCTCTCTCTGTGTCTCTCTCAATGACGGCTGTGCATCAAGCTCTCTAGTCTCTCACATTGACCAGTCCCTCTCGATTGGCTTGCAACTCTATTTCAAACATCCGTTTTTGCAAAACCTCTCATCCCTGTCAAGCAGCTTGCCCTCCTGATGAATTCTCTCGTCCTGTTTGACCGGCCTACTCCTCTTTGCAGCAAGCCCATTTCGATCTGGCTCTTGCGTCCCACATTTTCAAACCTCTTGCGATTGAGTTGCTCATATTTCTCAAACTCTCCGCCCTGTCAAGTCTAGTTCTCTTCGAAGCTCTGCGTTCCTGCTTCTCAGGTCTCTTGATCCCTTTCGACTGCTCTTTTCCAACCTCTCCTCTTTTTGAAACTTTCCTTTTGTCAAACTCTCTTGCTCGAGTTGTCTAGTCCCTTCTTCGGTGGGCGTGCTCCTCCTTCTATCTGTCTCTCCCTGTCAACCACTGACATCTTCTTGCGATTCTCATGACGCCGAGGTCGATTTTCTACAGCAGGGGGGCTCCATTCGGGCTGAACCGACCGAGGTGGTGCGACGGATTGTTGTCTCGTTGCATCGCCATTCCGCTTGAATTCTCAAATTCTGCGTCTGCTACCCTTTCAATGATGTATTCGACCACCCTTTGAAGCTTGCGAAACCTTGTCGTTCAGCGTCGTCGCATCGCTATATGAATAATTAATTGGATCCTTATGCTGTCTTCCGACCCAGGTCCTTTAGTGGCCACTTCTGCATCAGCAAACCCCGCCTCAGTCGGATAGGGCGCGATCCGTCCGGCTATGTTCCGCCAGCGCTGTCGGGTCTCTTGTGACTCGGCATTCAAGATCTCGGCCACCTACACGGTTGAACTTCATCTTCCTTTGTGGGCCCTCAAACCTTGAAACATCATGAAACCCTCCTTCAAGAAGATCAACCTTGCTTACAGTCTAGGCCTCTGACGAAACCAGGGCGTTGCAAGACAGCTCTAGGAGCAACTCCATCACAAGAAAGCAATCAGCACAGAACTCTTTTTTCAAAAGGCCCGGAACCCCTGTGAACCATAGCGAACCTCAAAATCCCGAAACCACAATCACGAGTACAAACCCTCCCTGCTTAGTCTTTTTTGCGCTGGCGTCGACGCGTGCAAGTGATGTGGGAGTATCCACATGCCATTTTGCCACAGGGTCTCGCTAAGGTGAACACAGCTGGTCGGCTCGAAATGTAAGGTCAGACCTCATCACTCCCTTCTTCGAAATCGAGGTGCTCGTCCGTCTCATGGCTTGGATTGGCTTGCGAAGAGATGCGTTCCTAAGAAGTTGTAGTGGGGCACAGGCGAAGGTGTCTCGAGTCTTGCTCGGTCCAAATCGAGATAGTCCAGAAGGAGTCGAACGGCTTTTTCGGGCTCTTCTTGCGCGTCTGTGTCATCCGAGCTCACTGCGTGCTCGATGTGAGGCAGAGTTAGTTGCACTTGCTTTTGCCCACAGGCCGAAGTTGCTGAAATTGCTTAGGCAGAAGATGGTCTGGAAACATTCGACCCACTTCGTAGTCGCAATCTTCCGCGATCCAGAAGACCAGAGACACGCCTGAGTTTTTTGCGAGCTCGCACGGTGTACCTGGCAATGCTTGGAGACGTTGCTCTGGAAACTGGCCACCTCAAGAGACCCCATTCCACCGGCCTGTGTGACTCCCCGAAGAGCACCCGCAGATTCTGCACGGCTTCCTCTTGAAGGAAGGCCGCCCGGGCCAGCAGGCGGCGCTGCATCGAGTCATCCCTGGGAGGCTTTCTTTATGATGCGGATTTTGCTTGCAACCATAAGAGGTAAAAGGGTTACAACTTGACTGGCTCAGCAACTGAGACGCCTTTTGCCAGGATGCTGCCGGTCCTCTCGCGGGCATTTTGGCTTGCACACGTTGGGGCTGGCTGGGAACGGGAATCACAGCATCGCTGCAGCACCCTTCTGGCAAATGCTCAGGTTCAGGCACACATCGACTTGGATCTGCGGATCAGCAGTCGAGAGCACTTCTGCATTGTCCAGGCACGGGTCGCATTCCTTGGGCATCCGAGAACTGCATGTAAACACGACACTCTGCCCAGCCCCAGTGTTGACATGACTGCATCAAGCAAGCTGCGGCCACGGAAACATGTGTCGCTGACAACCTGAGCTCTTAGAAGGAGCTTCGGCTTGGGATTTCTATCTCCAGGAAGGCCTCCGCTCACGCCAAGCTGCGAAGGCGGCGCTCCATCCACTTTAGTGCCTCATCCATCTGGCCTTGCGAGTCGTACCAGGGAACCATGTAGGTGCCCAGGCGCTCGCAGAGCCAATGCTGCGGCCCCAGGGCTGCAGAGGCCTCGTTTCACATGCAAGCCTCGCTGCAGTCCCTGACCTTATGCCTCTCTCGCTTATCCTCGGGTCCTCGCCTGGTCCCCGGCTACTTCTTCCAGCTGCCTTGCCAGCATCTTCAGCCGTGCGGTAGCTGTATAAGAGAACTTGCCACTGCCCGGCCTTGCATCCGCTTCCGTGATGAGCTCTTCCACCGGCTTGGTGCCACAAGCCTGCGCTGGGCAGGCCCCAGGCAAACTCTCGACTGAGTTAGCGAGCACCTGGTCCAGCAGCTGCAACCGCAGTCGCAGTTGTTTCTCCGTCTCCTAAGACAACGTGCACCCAAATAGCAATGGACCATGAAGGCCGCAGATATGCAGTCGCGGAGACATGATGTGTGGATCCAGTGAATTCGAGACTCCAGCAAGCCAGCCGCATGCTCTCCGACGGCCCGGGTGCATGTAGGGCAGCACATCCCAGCAAGGTCCTGGCGCCCGTCCCCTCGCAGCTCCAGGGACTGTAGAGGTAGCAAAGCTCAACTGCTTACAGCAAGTGGAAGTGGGAGAAAAAAGGCTCTAAACGGTGGCTGAAGTGGCCAACCTCTGCCCGGACGGCCCCGTTCAGCGGCGGGAAAATATGGCTCCCACCTTGCACCCGGAGATTCGTGCTCTCGAGCTCCAGGCAGCATAAGAAGTTCAGTCGTTGTTCTGCTTGCCGCTGTGATGCAATGCGGGCAGCGGAATCCACGGCACAGGTCAACCGGCTCTGTACCCGAGGCAGCTCGCTCATCACCTAAACAGCAACCGCTGAATTGGTACGACGTAGTAAGAAATTCAACGGGTTGAGCATGCTTTGAAAACCTGAGTTCCAGGCAGCGCTCACAAGTGCACTGAAAAAGCTTCGTTTTCTTGAGAGCTCTCTTCCGGTGAGATGCACTGAACATCAGTGCGTCCTGACGCGAAAGAAAAATCTGCGAGTACCCGAACACAAAGGCGCAGTACACCGCAAGTTCTCTGCACTGCTCCTCCGAAAGATACGAGATGCAAACCTCGTCACCTTCGGAAATGTCCATGCGGGCTCGAACTACCTTGAATCTGATCGCTCAAGTTGGCATTGGCTTCCTACTGAACTCATGCCTGCCGACAGCGAAAGAAGGACAACCGAAAGCACGCGAACAAGCGAGCCAAGTTACATGAAGCGCATCAGCGCCCTCGTGCCAAATGGCATTTGGCTTGCAAGAATGTGACCTTGGCCCGAGGACGCCGCGTCCTCGTTTCGTAAGACGCGGCTAGTAATTTCATTGGCCAGCGTTAAACATCATCAACTTGAATAGTGGGCTTTCGTGAAGCAAAATTAGGTTATTCCTGCTATTAACACGCCCATTCTTCATGTTCTTGTTGTTTGGGATACTATCTCGTTATATTGCGGCTTAGCCCTAAGCCCGAGGCCCTAAACATCCCTAAAATGCCCAGAGTGTCGCTGACCATTTGCATGGGCGCTCGAGGCTCCCACCGAGGCTCCGGGCCGAGCGTCTCCTCAGAACGGTGGGGGAAGGTAAAGCCTCCCGGTATACCAGGACTGTAGTGACGCCGCCTCGCTACTGACCTCTGCCGGCAGTAAAGAAGGCGGACATTTCCAAGAAAAACGACCGAAATGGACTTTTGACGGGCTTCAGAGCCGGTTCAGGGCTTTTTGCCAGGATAAGTGTTCAAACTTGGAGCAACCCTTACAGGGTGTGAGGAGCGGGTTGTTGGTTGGAAACCCTTGCTTCTCGTCGAGCGGCCGGCACAGGCCTGCGGGACTATATGCTGATGCAGGCGCGCGATAGGTGGGCATGCCCACATTCCTACAGTAAAAGGCGCACCCAACGCGCGCACACTCTAACACACCCTAAACCCTAAGCCCTAAAACCTGGATACTGTTCTTCAGCTCGGCCGCATGAAGGAAGAGACAAAGTAGGCGGAGTAGCCCTCGGGGGTCTCAGAATGCTCCTTGGCATCTTAGTATATATATATATATACATAATTTAATTTACTGTGATACAATATAACATGATATAAGATAATAAAGTATAGTATATAGTACATATGCAATCCAATATGTTCACTGATTTGACTGTTTCACGCACGGGGTGGGTTGGACGCAGCCCCTGGCTTGCCAGACCAATTAAGGTGCAAGTTGGGAGGAGAGTCCTCAGCGCCAATCACAGCATACGAAGATCGAGGGACACGGACTCTTAGAGGCTTCAACAGAAGCAGGATGTCTTCGCCGTTTGGCAACGGAACGAGCAGGCAAGTCCGGTACGAGCAGGCAAGCTTGAAGCGGGAAGGCCGGACAGACAAGGGCAAAATCCACACTCTTGCGGTGACTCGGTCAGCGTGGGAGCGGTCAGAGAGGCACGCGGTCCAGAAAGCACGCAACACTGGGACGTGGTCAGCAGTCCACGGCCATAGGGGCCGGCACAAATACCGAGCGGACGTCGAACATCCCAGGTGACGCAATCCCGTGTGGGAAATGTCATGATGGGGTTGTTTGCCTTGCGGCTCCGGTACACGCCAACTGGCAAAGTCAGCAACACAACAGACCCAGCTGGCATCTTCTAGGAGAACACGATTACCCTCTGGTGTGCCAGCAGCAAGGGCACAGAGCTGGTCTCGCCACACAGAGGCGGCAAGCCGGATGAGACGAAAGAAGGGGTAGACAGAAGGAGGATCTGATACGCTCCCAGCGTCTTTCAAGTATCAGGGTTGACAGGGCCCCGTCAAAGTTTAGATGGGCCAGACCAGACAGTCAAGAACCGCAGCGGAGAACCACAATCAACATATATATATATATATGTACTTATATACACGAATCCTGAAATCGTTCTGGTGAAAAGCCGCGGTGGCATGAGCTGAGATTGAAGTCAAGGTTCAAAGCAATTCAAAATCCAAAGCCTGGGATGCCATCGGGAACAAGCTGCAAGACCCAGGGTCGAAACTTCACAGCTGTCTGAAAACATCCTGGCAACCGCAGGAGCTCCTCCACCTTCACCGGGGACACCGCCAATCCCAACTCTGTGACCATGCTCTCCACGGCGGCGCCTCACTCTCCGATACTGTGGCGCGAGCCTCAAGAGACTACCGATATTGCCACGCAGCGTCTGGCTTCAGAGACAGGCTCATGATAAAGGCACAGCAGTTGCTTTTGTTGGTCTCTCCTGGGCTTCACTAATGCGCGGGTTTCTGCGGCTGCTGGAGGAGGAACGACATCATCGCCATGAACTTAGCCGTGCTTCGACACTGGTTTCAGACACCCCGCCTTTGGAGGTGTTCTTAGATCGTCTGCTGTCAGCGAACAAAAGGCTGCCCAGTACCACAGCGGGTTGTAGGCCACGTCCTCAGACGGAGTCTTCAAGAAATGATCTCCTGTGGGTTGCGGGGTGTGTTGAACAGGACAAAACAACCAAACCAAGCAATGGAGCATCGCGCTTCTCACAGATCCGCTTCACCAACTGGAAAGCCTCGTTGCCCTCATCCACCTGCACAATATGTAGCGGAGGTTCCTGGCTCGACCGCCACGAGGCCACGAGGCCATGAGGGTCACTCTCAAAGCTTCTCAGCTCTCCGGCTCTCCTCGAAAAGCAGGTCTCCTCTCTTGAAGGAGCACGTGGCCCTCAAGATGCGTCCCTTGCCTCGGAAGTTCACGCCAGAGCTCATGCTCTCATCAACCTAAGCCATTCAGTCCCGGATTCTCTCTGATAGCTCGCCTTGGCTGTGCATGGGTTGTCAGGGCTGGGTGGAAGATGTCGAGGAAAAAACACTTGGGCCGGGCTGCACTCCACTTTCCCGTGAAAGAGTTGCCGGCAGCGCAGGTTGATAAAGTCCACGGACCACTCTTCCATGCGTCAACTTAAACGAAATGCCACGCTGAACCTGTTGCCAACGAAACCTCCTCACAACCCAATCATGCTTGGGTGCAAAGATACAGAATGTATACATGGGGCAGGCCAAGGATGCTGGCAAAGCCTGAACCCAAATTGGCAGCACCAGGCAAAAATCTGATTGAAAGCGCCAACTGTGCAGGAGGGCCATGATGACTCGACTCGACTCGACATTTAGGTGGCTCGGCGTGGCAAGCTGCACTTGCAACTTGCGTCTTGTAGCGAGTGTAGAGGAGGCGAATTTCCAAACATGATTATTGGGTAGGAACCCCAAGGCCACCTCCGCCACCATCGTGAAGAAGCTGGGCAAGAGCGATAGGACCACCTGGTGAACAGCCCGCGACCCTGATTTCAAGGGTCTGTTCATGAGGGCGCATGAGGCCATTGCTCTGCTAGCTCCTGGTAACACATGGCCGGTCAAGGCCGGGTAGCAGTTGGATCTGGCTGCAGATCGCCATCGGGGAGGCAGATCTCCTGCGAGCAACTTGGAGTACTCTGGCATCGGCTTCGAGACTTCTCTCCGCCACCAGGTGCGGCAACCAGCCCACACAAAAAGCCAAGAGCCCGTACAGAGCTGGGAAAGCTCCTCGGCGCAGTCATCTCCGTCGTGCAGATATCCATCTTGGCCCAAGTCGAGATTGCATTCCTGCACTCTCCGTGTTGTTTAAGCTACAGGATTCAGGGCATAGGGCAAAAGATGCACCAGCACACACACACACAAACCCCAAAGCGAAAGCAGCGTCCCAAAAGCGAGCGACGCCGGCCAGGAATGGAAAGGAGGTCTCCGCAAACTGCAAGCTGCCGGAATATCTCCAATACCTGCAGTTGCGGCAGGTGGCACATCAGACGCTTGGACACAATGCCACCGGGCAGCAGTATGAATGGGACGGCTGCAAAGAGACCTGAAAACAAGAAGCCGGACGTGCTACTGCTGCCACAAACACAATCAAGGCAAGGATTGTAACGAAGGTCAACGAAACATCTTGGCATCAACCCCAGCAGCTCCAACTGCCGGCCAGGAGCCAATCTGCTTTTGGGCGAGGTCTCCTCCACCAACGCCCGCTGCGCGCACTCCATTTGGCAGGATGTGTGCCTCAGCTTCGCTTGCTCTTGCTCGGCTTAGCCGTCAAGTAGGAAATGGAGAGACCTCTGTGCTATTTGAGCACATCCCCTCCATCGACCCCAAAACAATTCATCAAGGCATTTGTGCATTGTCACTGGTCTCTGCTTGAGTCTCAGTGCAAGAAGTGTGCCACCTCGAGAGCCTACGGCGTTTGGATTCAGAAGCCTGGCGGAGCTGCTTGTAGCTCAAAGGCACCCGAAAAGCAGAGCTGAGCCAGCGTCGTGTGTCAAAGTTGCCATTCCACGGCTCGTCTTTTTTCAGAAGCTCACTGTGCTACGTGGCTGCTGCTGTCCCACATGAAGCACGCACAGGGTGGCAAAATGATCCGCTTAATTGATCTGAATCTGGTGGGGCTGAGTGCCAAGATTACCTTTGTATCATGGCGCAGCCTTGTGTGGATTACGATTTGAAGCTCGACTATCTTCCTACTCTGCCTTTTCTCGAACTTCCTTGCAGACTTTTTGCCAAACAAAGCAGAACTACCCATTGCTGTCGCGTCGCCGGAAAAGCTAAAGAGTCCCGGCACTGCGGATACAACTCTGAAGCCATGCGGCGGGCTGCCTCACGAGTTGGGTCCAAGAAGGCACCGGCAGATACAGCAAAGCCGGTGTCGTCATGATCAAGTTGCAGACAAGCTTCCGGCACAAAGTCCACAACAGCTCGAAAGTACGGCAAAAAGGCCTGCGGGAGAGACTGTAGGATTTAGGATGCAACCACTGTCATGTTAACATATGTTAACACGGTCCGTCGGCCTCCATGTGATTGGCTGCAGCTGCATTGTAGTAGATCGCCTTCGCAGGTCGACGATGTCTACAACGTCTCGATATGTCTCGCAGTCCGAAGAAGTTCTGTGGTGTGCCTCCTGCTAGTTGATGCTAGTTGTGCACATTCGGTGCACATGCACGATGTCCAGTGGGTGATGTTGCTTCCTGCTTTACGCAGTTGTTCGTTGGTTCTAGTGTGTTCTAGTGCTGTCTCCTTCTGCTGCTGCACAGGACCTGCTCGTGGAATGTGGGCTGAAGAGTATCAATAGTCTGAGGGGGTGGGACAATGAGACACAGGAACGGCCGTGCAGCCAAGCAAAGCGAAATGCCTCTGAGTCCGACATGTGCTTTGCACTCCAAGGGGCCTCTGCATTGTAGTTTAAGGTGATATCACCTGCCCAGAGAACCTGCACAGGTGAAAGAGCCACAAAGCACCACTCTTTTTTGCATCCAAGTCCCCGGCAAGGACTCCTCAAACCCAAAACCCTGAACCCGAGCTCCCGACCTCGTCGTCCAGCACGAACGGGCCGAACAAACCAGGAGCGGAGCCAGCCCAAGACGAGATGCGAAGAAGATACTGGCTCATATACCAGTGAAACCTTGCTGAAGGTTTTGTTGGTTTCGGATTTGGGGAGGTCAGGATACAAGAAGGACCCAGGCTTTAGGCTGCCCGACCGTTAGGAAGCTCGGATGAAGCACAACAATATCACCCAGGCCAGTTCTCGGGGAGAGGTGCCATGTCAAGCCCGATCACTCCGGAGTCTCTTCAACATTGCTCGATGCATTCATGCTTCAACTTCACGCGAAGCTAGTGAGTTCATGGTCACCACATCTGGCATCTGCATCGCTTATTTGATGACTTAGAGGTATAGTACTGTACGGCCTTTCGAAACTCAGGCTCGAGCCTCCCCCAAAGGAAGTTTAGCCAGATCATGTGGGGAGGTGCTAACCTACTTCGTTGCTTCAGGCGCCGACGAATCATGGATTTTACCAGGCGTGCTCAACTGCTCAAGCAACGACACGCACCGTCGTAAACCCTGAAAACGACCCAACCTAAGCAAGGCCGGAAAGGGAAACGCTCAACTCGAGAGTTCGGATCTCTGCGCGCGGCCTTTACTGAGCGATCAAGAGACCAAACTATCGTAGCTCCTTGTCCTTTCGGGTGCTCACTGAGCATCATAAGCCCCTCGGGGTGAATCCTGCAGGCCACGCGGCCGACACGACTACAAATACAGAAACCCCCTTTTCTGCTTGCAGCATCCTAGGTTCTAGACCATGACTTTCCATCAAACGGGGCCTCGTGCAGGTGAGCGGCATCGTCACAGGCGAGCCTGGGATGACAAGGTAGGACCTTGGCTCCAAGAAAACGCGAGCCCCAAAGTTAGACACTGAGCACGATCCTTTACAAGATGCAGGCTTAAACGGGGAGTCCGGCAAGCATAGGCATCACAAAGTACCACATGAATCCAAGGCACCGGTCCCAGAAAGATGCCCACGATGCCAAGTGGGTGGCCTCGGATCGAAACACGCGGCTCTTGAAAAACCTAGTTGTCATCGATGTTGTTGTCGCCGTCCCAATAACCATAGCTCTGGTCAACTTGCGCATATAATATGAGGTCGTCGTAGTCTTGCTCTTGCTTCTGACGCTGTTGATTGCGTTGGCGCATGGGCTCATGATCACAATTCTGCTTCTTCTACTTACCGTTGCTACTTCTGGATTGCTCGCGCAAGTGTTAATGAGTCTCGCTGCCAAAGCCCTTTCGTGGTGCAGCCACGCAGCTCGAAGCTGAGGTGAGGGTGGCCTAGGCCCCAGGTAGCTCGCCAAGTGCATCTTCAACCCTGACCTCTCATCCCAGAAAACCACACGGGGGTTTCCGAAAATAGGGGACCCTAATCTAGTACCCCAAATAGTAGGATCCTTATTATAAGGACCCCAATATTAAGGTACCCCTTATTTTCGGAAACCTCCACAAAACGCAAAGCCAAGCCAAAAAGCCTGGAGCTTCAAGTTTAAGCCGAAGGCTCAAGCCCCAGGCTAGACCGGAACACCGTCAAGCCTCGCGTCTCCGGCCGGGTGGGAGTATCCTATTATCTTATGGGTTCACTGGATTTCTGGAGATTGCGGCATGCCGGAGTTCGGACATCCCGGAGTTCCGTGTGTTTCGGTCCGGTACTCCAATTTCTCGGCCTCTCCGTGCCCCGGTGTGTCCCGGTGTAGTTGCTATCTTGTGTCGAGTTCGGCGTCGTGTCGTCGTCTCGGTGCCCATGTGTCCAGTGTACGTGGGCTTGCTGGCGTCGTGCCATCTTTTCCGAAGACAACACGCAGAGAGCTCACTCCATGTGAGAAGGTCGTCTGACTCCAGTGTTCGACCACCCACGAACTGACGAACCCCCAATTGATATTGCGTGGCTTCATAGTGGCAGCGTTGCTGTTTCTACTGGGGTCTTGAGCTGACTTCATCAACCCTGAAACAGTTGCCATGGGTCGCAAGACACAAATTGCGCAGCACCGATCTACATAGATGCACCGAAGCTGCAATGGCCGAAACCTTATTATGCGAGCATCATCAACAAAGCGACAGCTGGCAGACCAAGTCAATGCCGTGCCATGCCGTGTCGAATGCTCTCCAATATTGCCACAGCTCATCGCGGACCAGTTTGAAAGATTGCCACGTTTGCGGGCAAGGGGCTCTGGCGTTTCTGTGAGGGTCCTCCGGCTCATCTGCAGAACCAGTGTTGCTGTCCTGACGCAGCTCGCTGACGCGACAAACTTGCAACCTCGCCCTGACCCTGACCATCACACATGGCAGCTGACTGCAAAGCCAAGGAACCCAGGCTCTGTTCTCCAAATACCCCTTGCACAGGGCCCACGGAGATTGCCACCACATTGCCCCATCGCCTGACAATGACCCGATGGTGCGCGCATGCCGACACCCAACCGGCGAGAACACGTTGGATGATCACGACTTCGCGGGTTACATACTGTCACTTCAATGCCTCAGCTTGCTCGAAGGAAGAACGGCTGTGAACAGAGCCAGCGCCAGCAGCTTGCAGCAGGGTCCCCAGGGTAGCCTGGAAACCAAACCTAAGCTAAAGCTGGCTGGTATGCCAAATAACCTGTTGTCGCCCTTCACCTCCTCCTTCGGAGATGCCAGCGCCAGGTCCAAGTGCAAACAAGATGCCACTGCACAGGATAATGCTTGGCCTCATGTCGCTCGGAGAACCAGGAGTTGGAGCGACCTACCTACTGAGTGGAAGTCGTGTCCGCATGGGTTCGCAACAAGATGTGCCAACGACGGATTTCGTGCTACAGAAGTAAGAAGCTGAGGCAGGCCGTCACCACCCTCTGTAGTTCATGTCTTCAGCTGAAGAGGCTTTTCCTTCAACCCTTCTTCGAACCCCAAGCGCCTGAAAATGCCAGCCGTTTGCGCGCGAGACCCTCAGCAACTCTGGAGCTGCCGTCACCTCCGAGGGAAGTCGGTCGGAACCAGCACCTTGTCTGCGGCAGCTCCCTATCGAATGCTGGAGGTGCCCGGAATGTAAAAACACAAGGGCAACGGAATTGGCTGTGACTCTTGTCGGTCCGAGCACACGGCCCGTCGTCTTCGTCACCGGCTTCCCTTCCTGGCCCACCAAGGAGTCCGGCCGACAAAACCGGTGCTCCGTGAATGCACCAATGCTGATGGGCAGGGTCCTATCCCTGATTGTTCTGACACTCGATCGGTAAGCCAATGTGTGTGTGTGTGTGTGTCAAGGCTACGCCGACAATGCCAGCCTTCACGCTGGTGCTTGGTGATATCGGAGGTCGAGCTGGGCCATTGCAGCCCGAGAAAGTCCACAAGGTGACCTCCACCTTCGCATCACTACAAAAGTTGTGACGGCGACAACGACAATAACTCAAACTATGCAATGCAGAGAAAACTCCAGAATGGCAGCAGCATTGAGGAGGAGGAGGAGGAGGAGGAGCAGCAGCAGCTGTAAGAAGCCGAGGCAGAAGCAGTTCCACTACGAAGCAGCCGCAGTACTAGCAGCAGTGCCAGTTGCAGCAGCAGCAGCAGCAGCAGCAGCAGCAGCAGCAGCAGAAGGAGTTCCGGTACAAAGCATCACTAGCACTAGCAGCAGTGCTAATTCCAGTAGCAGCAGCAGCAGCAGCAGCAGCAGCAGCAGGAGCAGTAGGAGCAGTAGAAGTACCAACAGCAGCAGCAGCAGCAGCAGCAGCAGCAGCAGCAGCAGGAGTAGCAGAAGTGGTCGTCGTCATCGTAGCATTTGCAGCAGCAGCAGCAGAAGCATCAGTACTAGTAGTAGTAGTAGTAGTAGTAGTAGTAGTAGTAGTATTAGTAGTAGCAGCAGCAGGAGTAGTAGTAGTAGTAGTAGTAGTAGTAGGAGGAGTAGTAATAGTAGTAGTAGTAGTAGTAGTAGTAGTAGCAGTGGCAGTAGCAGTAGCAGTAGCAGTAGCATCAGTAGCAGGAGCAGTAGCATGAAGAGTCGTAGCAGTGGTTGCGGT